CAAAAGTTTTGCAAGGGGATCAAACATCTGATGGAGAGAAAGATTTTTTAGACTATCTCTGCCTATTAAATAAGGTTAATATAACTGAAATAAAAGAGAAAAGTCCAGAGGTAGGTGGTCTAGGGCCGGTATGGTGATTCTCCTCCTCAGTGTCTTCATCCAACAAGGCTTCTTGCTGCTCACCACTCAGATACCCCTACAGTGTGGCCCTTATCATCCAAGTTCAAGAGGGCAGCTAGAGCGCCAGCCATCACAGCCACATTCTAATCAACAGATGGAGGAAGGGATAAAGAAGGGGCAAAGGGCAAAATACAACTGTCTTTTAAGGAAAATTCTCAGCAGCCGCCATATGACACTTCTGCTTACTCTTCTCATTGGCTAGGTATTAGTCGCATGACACATCTAGCTAGAAGTCGAGGCTTGAATTAGTGGACTGTATTCTGTGAGGCTATGTGCTCAGTTACAAATCAGGGTTTCTGTCAGTAGGGAAAAAAAGGTGAACTAATATTTGGGAACAGCAAGCAAGATCTTCATTACAGCCAACTTGACAAGGCTGACCACAAATTCTGACCTGTTGGTGGCATAAGACACATGCTTAATCCTGAAAACATGCTCCTAGAATCTGGGAGAAGAGATACCCATTTCAAACAAACACTGCAGCCAGGAGAAGGTGTTCAAGTGACCCCTACCACGGCCCACCCATGGAAGAGGATGGATGGGACTGAAGGCTGGAATGGAGTTGGGATTGAGCAGCCAGTCCTCACAACCAGCGCCTCAGAGGAACCACCCTGAAGGCAGGGGTCCTGCTACTGAAAAGACGAGGTAGGGATGAGACAAGAGTGAAGACAACTAAGAAGGGAAGGACAATTTCATTAGCAGTGAGGAAGCAACTAGTCAAAAGTTGAAGGGAAAGAACTAGGCTTTACTGTAGAAATCAATGTTCTCAAATACACAGATTTAGACAAGAATTTGGAAAACAGAAAAGAAAAAATATCAGCCTTGGTTCTGACATCCCTATACAACTTTTGGAATATTTCTTTCTGGCCTCTTCTATTCCTGTGAGAGGTATTTTGTTTTATTTTAAACACAGATACTGTAAACATACTAGATACACCATTTGGTACTCTGCCTTTTTCAGGTAACATTAACATAGGAGCATTTCTCATATTATAACATTCTTTATGGAAGCCATATTGTGAGTTGGTTAAGCATATGGGCCCTGAAGTGACTCTCTTTACGGCTTGAGTTCATATCCTGCTGTGGGTGACCATGGGTAAGCTACTTAACCTCACTTTGCCTCATTTTCCTCATCTGTAAAGTGGGAAAAAATAAACATGAGGACAATAATACCTACCTCATAAGGCTGTTCTGAGGAGTAAATGAGATAATTCATGCAAAATGAACTAATAACAGCACAATTAACGTAAGCTATTGTTATTTGTACATACAATTTTAATGGCCACATAAAATTCCAACCAGTGAACATCTCATAACCATTTCCCTAGTACTGAGCACTTGGCTAATTATCAGCATGGGGCTATTATAAAGTTTGAAATATTTTAGTGCATTTATCTATTTTATATTTAGGACTATTGCCTTAAGAAATATCTTAAGAGTCTTAGTGTATATATTAGAACATTTTATTTAAGCTGGGTTGTGGGTATATAGGAATTCATCATCTTGTTATCTATATATGATTTTCTTTCAGTGTGTCTAAAATATTTCGCTAAAAACTACACTCAGTGAAAAATAAGAAAAGCATTCAGTAATCAAATGTTTGTGTACAAAAGTGTCAAAGAAAGAATCAAAGATTCTATTGAAATAAGATAAATGCTAAAAGACAAAGATGGGGCCCTCAAGGCTCTCCATACTCTGACCACAGCCATCTCCTGCTCACTATACACCATTACTCACACCTTCTCGCTCCAGCTAGAAGTTACACTCAAGGCTGCTAAACCATGCCCTGCATTTCTCCTGTCTGCTTCTTCACTCAACTTGTTTCCTCTCCTACAACATATTCTCTTCTCTATCTCAACCTGCCCAAATCCAATCAACTTTCCAAGGTTTGGTTCCATCTTTCCAAAATAACCTCTTCATGGTGTGGTCTCATTAGCAGCAGCTGCCACTTGAATGGCATTACCAAAGCACAGTCATAGAGAATCCTTCATTTCATCCTCAGAACAGTACTATGAGGTAGGGAAGAGAAGGCAAGGCCTCAACCCTCCCATTTGGTCAGCCTGGGCCTGGAATCACAAAGCCTCTTCACTCTACACCGTAGCCCCTGCTAGTGAGCAAAACACACAAAGAAAACACTTAGCACTCTTCTCGCTGGGACCTGGGGATCCGCCGATGCCTGGTATTAATAAAAACAATATAATACAAAGGCAAAAAAGTGACAAGAGTAAACAGACAACAGCATAATTTAATAAATGATTGTTTAAAAGGAGGGAAGGGAGAGGAAAGGAAGGAAAGAAAATATGCTGATGTGCCAAGATCTGAATTTTCCCCACGCCAGGCAGATGGGATAAGGCAAGGAATATGGCCATGCTGCCTCTCTTCAGGGAGAGGGTAGGGGCTGGAAAGGTAGGACAGTGACTCTCACAAACAGCAGAGAGGTGTTAGATGCCTTCCCTGCAATGCATACTGCACAGTTGCAATGGTTGTTCTAACTTCTAAAGAATGCCAGGCCATAAGATTGGTTGTTAGCATTCTAGATTTGGCACTAACACTGATTTTGTCTGAGATTTGGGAACATCTCAATAGCTGTATGCTTCAGTTTCTTCAATCACAAAATGGTGTTCTTATTCTTTCGGCACCATTATGGTTCACTACCCCACAGGGGAGCTCCATCCATGCCCCATTTTTTCCTTACTAACAGAACCCCAGTTTTTGGAGACTATGTGCCTCAGAGAGGCTGAACCCATTCTCAGTCCTGTGGGAATGAACCTGGACTGGAGGATAAGCCAACCATGGTAACTCCACTGCCTCTGCCAATGATTGGCTTAAGAATGAACATGTCATGCGACTGTGGCCAATGAGAGGTGAGGGGAGGTAACACTTGGGCGGAGGGCTTCTGGGAAAATTTTCCTTTTAACTTTAGAAGGGACAAAAGGAAGGTGTTTTCTCTTCTGACGTTTGGGTGTGATACTTGCACCTGTGGCCATCTTGTGACCATTAGAGGACAAATATGAAAGTAAAAGCTAAAATGCAGAGGCTGCAGAGAGGAAAGGTGGAAAATATCAAGTTGTTGATAATATCATTAAGGCAATAAATAAAATCTTACTATAAATACATCTCATCTAATCAGATGATAGACTCAGGTAGTAAATAACCCTGGAAGGCACACTCCAGTCTTGTTTCTTAAGCCCTGAATCATAGACTACCATACCAATTCTTGTCCTAAACTTAGAGAATTTGAGAGCTAATCCTGAAAAAGAATAGAAATATAAAGATGATTAAGAAATAAATCTAAATACATTGTACAAATACTTTTGTAACCAAGTGCGCTGATAAGCTTTGTAATCATTGTGTACTATTTCTGTTTCTCCATTTTTGACAAATATTCAAAACATTTCAGAAAATGTAATATATCAGACTTGTGGTTTCAGTTGAATGAATAAAGTGATTAATTTATCATCAATATTTACATATAGAAATTTAGTTTGCTAAATGTATCAAGTTTTACTTATCAGTTATCTTAGCAATATATACATACATAAAACCAAAAAGAGAAATGAATACTACGGGCTTTTCATGTTCTTGCAATTTTGGGGTGAATCAAAGATGCTATACATGGCATTTTTAGGCAAGTTACTTGCAAAAGTGGCAGTGATTCCACCCCAGAAGCAAGAGCAATCTTCTGTTTTGGTTAACTATAAGAACCAGAATAAATGGAAAACACTTGTCACAAGGTCTGGATAGGACAGAGAAGGTTACCAAAGGTGCCAGGTCATTAAGATCCCTTCGAAATGCTTTCCTTCTGTAAAAATTAACATGGGGTTCTGGTTCATGAAGCCAATATAACACATTACGTCCCACTGGAGCTCCTAAGCAAAGATACCCTCAGTTTCCTCATCAACATAGTGGTGAGTAAAACAAAAAGAAAAAGAAAAATATACCCTCAGGAGTCCTGCACTCATTCACACAACAAAAGCAAAATAACTTTTAAAATAGAAGTAATTGCCTATAGTGTGTAAAAACTGGTCCTTCCACTCTTTTCAGCATTGTCCTGTGATCATGGCAAAACATATACAAATATAAACACAGACGCACACCAGTTAAAACTAGCTTTAAAAAATATGAAAATAAATAAATAATAATAAACAACTCTAATGAAGTTTTTTTTTTTTTTTTTGAGACAGAGTCTTGTTTTGTTCCTAGAATACAATGGCGTGATCATAGTTCACTGTAACCTTAAATTCCTGGGCTCAAGTGATCCTCCCAGCCCAGCCTCATCCTCCAGCCTCAGCCTCCCTAGTAGCTGGAACTATAGGCTCATACCACCACACCTGACTAATTTTCTATTTTGGGGGGAAACAGGCTGGTCTTGAACTCCTGAGCTCAAGCAATCCTCCTACCTTGGCCTCCCAGAGTGCTAGGATTACAGGCGTGAGCCACCGCACCCAGACTCTAATGATATTTTAAACAATGGTTCTCTTTTAAGTTATGCCACCAAATCAGAAAATGAAAGGTACACTTGATTAGCTGTAAAATGTCACATGAGTCGCTAGATGAATGGACAAGGAACATCTAAATCATAAGGCTGCTGCTATTACAAACTGAATGTTTGTGTCTCTCCAAAATTCATATGTTGATATCCTAATCCTCAATGTGATAGTATTGGGAGGTGAGGCCTTTGGGAGGTAATAAGGTCATAAGGGTGGAGCCCTCATGAATGGGATTAGTGCCCTTATAAGAAGAGACACATGAGAACTTGTTTCCTCCCTCTTCCTCTCTCTCTCTCTCTCTCTCCCCCCTTCTCTCTCCCCTCGCTCTCTCCTTCCTCTCTCTCTCTCTCTGTCTCTCTCTCTCTCCTCTCTCCCCCCAACCCCAAGATTGCAAGACTGAGAAAGACTTTTGATTTTTCATTTGTAAGAGAAGATGAGCTTCTTTCTCAGTGTGTGTTGCAGCCAGACATAGTACTTCTCCTTAGCAGAAACTCTGCTATTCCAATCATACACATTGTCATTGAGTTCAATGTGGAGATCCAGGAGTGGGCGTTTTCTGTAGGAAATAAGGAAGACAAAATTTAATGCCACGCAAATATCAAAGAGAAGACAGATTGTCGTTAGGGTGAAATGAGCCAACAGATGTGAAAGTGTTTTGCAACCGTTCCTTTCTAAACGCTCCACAAACTGCTCCGTGAATGATCCAAACTAGTTCACAGGACTCTGGCCCAGTGGCCACTGTCCTCTCCATCAAGGAACAGCTGAGTTTTACTAGGCTGGGAACATACCAGGCACATGCTAACTCACCTGGATCATCTATGCAAATGCAGAATGGGTGTAAAAGGCCAATAATACCACTGGCCCGTGGAGCACTGACCTTGGAAGCTGAGTCGTTCCTGCTCTAGCCCTCCCCTTCCCACTGAGTCACTACTGAGGAGGTGGGGAGAGCAGGCTATGAGATTTATTCCCAGGGTCCTCAGAGCTACAGCCCAGAATACATTGATAGGTAGCTCAGAAACATCACTCTAATTGTAATTGGGGGCAAGTGAGTAAGGCCAGTTAATCTTATACTTGAGGTACATTGTGGCTTCATTCAGCTTAAATGAAAACCAAGACACCGATGTTTCCCTTAGAAAAGTATCCTTGCCAATAAACATAAAAAATATTTATATAACAAAGACTTGCAGACCTGAACAGTCAGATACCACTTTTCACCTATCAGAATGTCAAAACTGGGGGAAACATAAGAGCATGCAGTGTTGGTGAGAATTCAGGGATGCGGCTGCTCTCATGTGAAGCTAATATGACCATCCCAGAGGACTATCTGGTAAGATGCATCCAATCTTGAAAAATATATGTCCTTGGACTCAGTAATTCCACTTCTGGGAATTTCCCACAAGAAAATAATTAAGTGTAAGCTGCAAAGATGTTTAATATTATACTTTGTATGAAAGCAAAACACTATCCAACAATCAAAGATTGATCATGGAAATTAAGCTGTAGCCTTATTATGGGCTACTGTACAGACGTTAAAATGATGCTGTAGAAATATGATCACTAACGTGCAAAAATGTTTGTGATCTACCATTAAATGAACTAAAAGCAAGTTATGAAGTAATAGTAGATGATGATTCGATTTGGGCTTTAAAAACATACTTATATAGGATTGTGTGGGTATCCCCAAAAAATCTGGAAGGCCATACAACAAGATTTGGTTAATAGAAGTTGGTTTTAGTAAGTAGGGTTATAACTACTTGTTACATTCTACTTTCAGCACCTATATTTTATGACTTTTTTCTGTAAAGAGTATGTATTATTTTTATAACAAAAAATAGCAATTTCTTAATTTCGATGAAAAACATCCAAACTACAAGCTAACAAAAAATGCTCATAAATCATGCTGGGTCTATATTGTACTCCTTAGGCAACCCCAATGGTCCAGGAAAAATGTCTTTTTCTCCCTGAAGAGAAGGGCGTCAAACATGGCACAGTGGTAATCCCCTTCTTGGTGGCAGGAATATAAGCAAGTGGTCCGGCATTGGCCACCTCCTGAGTGGCTCACCTTTCTTGCCTCAGTTTCTGGGAGAGGCACTGCAGGTACATGGATGGGGAGTTGGAGGATCGCTCCAGCAGGGACACGTCCGCTGTACACAGGCTCCAGAAGAAGTCAGCTTCAGGGTGAACCATGCTGGGCCCAGGCTTCTGTGCCGCAGTTTCCACATTGCTTGCTGCTGGTCCATCCACCTCCAGTAGGCTGCTGTCCTCCGACTGGCGCTCTGACACCACGTAGTTCTGAATGAAAAAGAGCTTTGGCTTCCCTACTAGAAAAGGGCATAAATCTCCCATGAACATCCTCCTGATATGATGCAAGGGGAACCCTGAGTGCGTCTGATCCACACCGAACACAGTCTGGGAGCTTCCTCGGCTCACAAGGACACACACAAAGCTGTCGTAGTCTCGGTGTTGGGGCATACAGGCAACCTGGTGAAGAATCTGGACTATATCACCCACACTGAGATACAAGAAATGCTGGACTTCGTAGCCCAAGGAAGTGAAGGTGTCTCGAAGAATCTCTGGAGAAAACAAAGACGGAAAACAATACCGGAGTGAGAAAAGGTCAAGAGGAACCAGGTAGGAATCCCAGCCATGGTCTAATCTCCATTATTTATCTGGTTCTGGTTTTGTGTAATATTTTGAGGGACCCAAGTCCTGGGCAGGAGGGGTAGGATCCACCTGAAACATGAAATATGTGACTTTCACATCCCAAGTCCCCGTTACGTCTGTCCCTTGCTACTCCACTGCCTGGTGCTGCCACCTAGTGCTGCCTGCTGCTGCCACCACACCTGGCCCAGGCTGAGCCCACTCTAGGCCAGTCAACCCAAGGGAGAACAAAACCTTTTTCTCTTAGACCCGGACAAAGTTGGGGATTTTTCAAAAGGCTCTTTCTTACAATGAAAGCACACACAAGTACATAGGAATGGATGCATTTGCAGAGTGCACATCCAAATCTAGATGCAGACGGCTGCAGAAATGGTGGCACAGATCACGTGTTTCCTCACCCCCCTGCTGTGGCCTGAGACGGAAGCCCTAGTCATGTCTATCTCCAGACTCTCAGTTCCTCTTATGACCTTTCCAGAGTGACCTCTGGGAGAGCAGTGTGGGCCCTTGCCAAGAGTCCCTACAGTGCCCCCAGAGAGTTTTCTTTTAGTTTTTGGGAATCCTGGATTGACTTTGCCTCAAGAGGCGGTGTAAGGTAGTAGAAAGAGCAGACTTCATGTTAGACAAGCCTGCCTTCTAACGCTGATCTTACCATGTCTTAGGCTGTATGACCTTCAGAAAATAGAGCTGGGCATGGTGGCCCATGCCTGTAACTTGAATGGAACATGGCAGAAGTGATAATATGGGAGCACCAATGTTAGATCACAAAAACAATACAGCTTCCACCTGG